ATTTAAAATAAAAAAGTTTTTTATGTTTAAAAAATTTCATTTTTAAAAATAATTTGCAAATAATGAATAACCTAAATATTCTCAAGAAGTACATCCCATCTACTACCTCTGGTTAAAATTTTAAGTATCTGATAGATATAGTACCTGAGATAGACGACTTTAAGAAAATGTCTACCGGCGACTAAAAATGTAGAAAAAAATTGAATAACGCCAAATCCGCTATAACTAGAATAGGCAAGGTATCGTTGTTTACAGAATTTCATGCTGAATCTAAAATTAAAAAAAAATATGGGGTATTCCCTTTAAAATAACGAAGTTAGTGGTCACTTCCGGTATAACCGGAAGTTGCACAGAGTTCATTTTATTTTAATTCAAAAGAGCATATTCGATTATGTATACTCAGAAAATGGCGATAATACAAATTAATTTATTCTCCATAAAGTTGTAATGCCCGCCTTACGTGGGACACGGTTCATACTAAATAATGGGAATGGCCTCTGACGAAATTCTCCTAAAATATAGTTTTCAAAAACCATATAAAATAAGTGTATCCTACAAGGAAACATTAAAGGGAGATTTTCATATTTACGCAGAAATCATCTGGTATACAAACCAATGAATGAGTAGGAGTAGGTATAATACATAGTAGGATAATATATAATGCCACGCCAAAAACAAGAATCTCACTGAGATTAGGTAAACATGTGACAGAAATAGTAGCAATACGTCACTGATCAAAAGATTTATTAAAACATAAGAGCCATCAGAATATGTACAAAGCAATAGATATTAATCAAGCTTAGGAATCACTAGGACAGGACCAGAGAATTGTTGAAAGGACTAGCTTAGGCAGAATCTTACAGTGTGACGCTTCTTCCCATGGTATAGGTGGTTGTTTGATTCAAGAATTTGAAGATTGGGGAGAGTCATTTGCTTTATTTCCAGAAGTCTTACTAGACAGGAACACAACTATAGCACAACTGAAAGGGAAGCCTTGGCAGTGATTTGGTGCATAGAAAAACTTAATTATTTAGAGTCAGTTCATTCCTTGTTGTGGTTGCAGAGGATTAAGGATCCTCAGGGCCGTTTGGCTAGATGGGCTCTTAGACCTTATAATTTGAATTAATACATCGTCCTGGAAAGCTTCATGTAGTTCCAGACTTTCTTTCTCGTTCAGTGGCTATAGAGGTGGTAACACCACAGGCCGTTCTTCATTATTTTGACACATCAGATAATTGGTATAAAGTTTTAGTGAAACGAGTTTTACAATTTCCAGAAAAATATCCTTCTTGGAGAATTGAAAATAATGTCCTTTATAAATATGTTAAGTACAGTATTTCTGATCTTTCAAATCCTGTCGATTTTTGGAAAATAGTATTTTCTAAAGATAAACGCAAGGAAAATTTCTTGCTTTGCCATGATGATCCTACTTCAGGGCATCTTGGGGATTTTAAAACGTTTTGGCGGGTTAGAGAAAAATATTTTTGGCCGAAAATGAGATGTGATGTTTTAAAATATATTAAGTGTTGTAAAGTTTGTGCTGAACAAGAACCTGAGATAAAAGCTCCAGCTGGTTTAGATTTTATTGGTCCTTTACCACATAGCATTTCTGGTCATAAACATTGTTTGGTTGTAACTGAATATTTTAGTAAATTTGTTATTTTATTTCCTTTAAGATCAGCTAATGCTAAGTCGTTAGTTAAATGTGTAGAAGAAGGTATATTTTTAATTTATTTTGCTCCACAATTTTTGATTTGTGATAAAAGAACACCTATGAAGAGTAACGATTTTCAAAATTTGTATAAAAAGTATAAAACAATTATTTCCTATACGGCTCAATATTGGCCTCAAGATGATCCTACTGAGAGAACCAATAGGGTTGTGAAAACCGTAATATCTTCCTATGTTAAGAATCACCGTCATTGGGATAAACATTTGGCAGCTATCGCCTGTGCGATACAAACTGCTAGACATGAGACAGTTGGTTTCAGTCCTTTTTATATTAATTTTGGTAGATATTTTAAAGTTTATAGTCAAGATTTTTGTGATCAGGTTCCAGCTGATAATTTAGACCCATCTGAAGAGGTAGCTACAAGAAAAACTGGCTATCAGAAGATGTATGAAAAGATACTTGTGCGTTTACAAAAATCACATGAGCGCAGTAAAAGAGTATATGACTTACGACGTCGATCTGTCGATTCAAACAAGGTGATAGGGTTTAGAGAAGACGTTGTCTGATGGTCTGAATTATTTTTCGGCTAAATTAGCTCCTAAATTAGTAGGTCCCTTTATCATTCATAAGAAAGTTGGTTATTGCACGTATGAATTAATGAATGATTCTGGTGAGAAGAAGGGAATTTGGCATTTGCAAGATTTAAAACTACTTTAGATGATAATTTTCCTATATAAGTTTAGTTCGTGTTAGTTGGTTTGTCTTTCTGATGCAATTTTGGCTTGCTTAGGTTTTATCGTCGGTCAAGTTTTAGGAACTTAACCCTCTTTGGGAAGGAGAGGGGCAGTGTTTTTATTTTTAAGTATTATTTACCAATAAATTTAGTTAGTAGTTTTGAACCATACCTCGTATATAATAATATTCTTATTTTGTGTTAAATAGAGCATCTCTTTATTCGTAACATTTCATTTTATATTATTCTCATCCAAATTACATTAATATAATACATATAATTTAGTATAAATCCGATAATTAATTGGATGAAATGTACTAGTAGACAGAGAAGAGACTTTGTGTCGATTCTGCCAGGAAGAGGAGGAAATTTCAGTTTACGTATTGTGCTACTGTGAAGATCTATCAAGACAGAATCCTTATTCTTAGTCTGTGGAGTCTACAACAAAATACCAAACTATCCAAAGTACGCCAATGATCAAAGTATATCGACAATATAACTGAAAAGGTCGAAATGGAGGATGCTACATAGCTCACAGTTCTAACCAAATTTAATTTTTGTTTCCTAATCATATTTCTCTGTATTTAATTATGTTTCAATACGTTCTTTAATTCGGTTTCTTTTACTTTCCTATCTGTATACAGATAAGGAAATTATAGGAATCATGATTTTTTCGACCTCGAGTTTTCGACGGATTTTTACGTTTTGAGGTCCCCTGAATCCGTTTTGACTATTTTCGCGATGATGTCCGTGTATGTGACTGTGTGTGTGTCTGTATCCACGATAACTTATGAACGGATACAAAGAAAAACACCAAATTTTAAACTTAAGCTTTATTCTGGCTTGCGGTGAAATGATTACATTTTGGACAGAGTGAGAACATCTGGGGGGTACTTTATAGGAAGTAATTTTTATATTTTATGAAATATATCTGTTATTTACGTTTGGAGAAGAAAATTTTTTAAATAAAAGTTACTTTTCCTAAAATGGTCCGTATTCGAGATATTTTACAAAATGTAAAAAAATCTGATTTTTTAGAAAATTGTTGAACTAAAAGATATTTGCTATATCGATCTCTATAATTTTTGTTTTTTACATGATAATGGAAAAATTAGAGGGAAATTATAAAATTTTAATTTTTCAGCATTTTCGAGTTAGATGTATGTGGAAAATGTATATATTAAGTTAACCTCTAAATATTTACAGAGGTGCTACAATAGGTTGTACAAAATAGCCAAAAAAAGCCTGTAATAACTAGATAGGAAAGTCATGTGTTGGACACATCAGATTTTTTTTGATATATATTTATGTTTCTAGTTTCTAGTCAAATTTATTTATGTTTATGTTATGTTTCTCTATATTTAATTATAAGTATTTTTCTAAGTTAAATGTTTAATTATGTTTCTCTATATTTAATTGTGTTTTTGCATGTTTTCTTTTCTATTTAGTTCGTTTTTCTACTTTCTGGTCAGTACATAGGAAGAAAGTATAGGAATCATGATTTTTCGACCTCTAGTTTTCGACGGATTTTTACGATTTTTGGTCTTTTAAATCCGTTTTTACTATTTTCGCAATGATGTCTGTGTGAAAAGCACTAAATTTTAAACTTAAGCTTTAATCTATCTTCTTATGCGTTGATTAAATTTTGGACATGGTCGGAATATTTGGGAAGGTCCTTTATGGGGAGTAGTTTTTCTACTTTATGGAATGTGTCTGCTGTTTACGCTTAGAGGAGAAAATTCGTTAAATAAAAGTTACTTGTGATATCATTCTCTATAATTTTTGTTAAATACATCATTTTTATAAAATGGACTGTATTGGAGGTATTTGAGGAAACAGAAAAAGAGAAAAACACTAAATTTTAAACTTAAGCTAATCTATCCTGCAGTGAGTTTGATTAATTTTTGGACATTGTCGAATCTTATCCCTGGGTACTTTATAAGGTGTCGTTTTTTTATTTTGAATCTTCTCTGTAAATTACGATTGGAGAAAAATTCTTGAAATACAAGATATTTGCGATATAGTTCTTTATAATTTTTGTTCTATGCATGATTTTTTTAAAACCATATGGTTTTTTTGTCAAATGATGAATTTTGACTTTGTTGTTGCTTTAAAAATTATAAAATGACATGCAAATTGCAAATCGCGTGACTTTTTGTAAATGTCAAAACTGACATTTTTTCTAAAAATAAAAAGTTGCTTATTTTTTATGAGACAACATTTAAAATTAAAAATACCTACATTTAAAATGGGCGATTCCCGTAGAAAAAGGTTTTATACAGGTTGGATTAAATTCCAAAAACCTAAAAATGAATTGGTAGAAACAATGAAAAATCGACTTTGTCTTTACGCTTTCTAGAAATTCCATATAGATTACAGCCATCTTAAATATAAGATTCTATATTTTCTATATTTTTTAATATCCAAGCATATTTGAATAAAACAGCATATACGAAACACGGACGAAAAGTGTTTTTTCAGGTTTCTCCGACTAGCCAGAATCGACTACGTCTTGTTTCGAAAACTTCTCAAATTCGCTCGAAAAACTAAACACTTCATCCTTGAAACATAAACTATTATAACGTATATACCTACATTTTTATAAGTCTCCTTGGCTTGCTCTTTCTCCTGTACATACGCCTCGTATTGCTTGCCGTCAATCTCCATTATGAACCCGGATATATAGGCTTGTTCGGGGATGATAATGGAGAAAGTGGCTTCCTGTGCTTTTTTATCCAAATTCTTGACTTTGCTTGTAATTTGACATCTGGCAAATCTGTTCGTAACGTTGGCGTCCACTCGCATCTCGTAGATTTTTGGCAACACGGGTACTGCTTGCTGAAATTTAATATTAAATTTATGAAATAGAAAATCTACACTTTAATCAATACAGAGATTAAGAGTACCCAAATTAGAATATAATATAAAGGCATAAATACGCCAAATTGAAGTTCGTATTTATTCACCAAAAACCTATACTCACTAGATGCGATGCCCTTTGACTATTATTTTTTCCCTAATCTTAATAATAAAGTATTAATTTGAACTTGTATACTGGTGTTTCAAAGATATCAACATAACATTTCATTTTATTAATTTAGTCATTGACATATTTAGTATTCATATGTTCAGATTGAAAAAATTTAATTTAACATTAATTATAAATAAAAGCCAACTACTTAAAATTCAATAATAAATTATAATTCCCTTCTCATAAATTATTATGAAATGAATATTAACATTATAATGATAATATTGAATAACAAATGGAGCAAGGTATTTATATTATGACTACCTTGACATAGGAATGTCCTAAATTTTTTGCCAAAAATGTTTAATATTTAATAAAAAATGTACACCTTTGTATATGTATATCCCTTTGCTGTCAAGATCAAACATTCAAGTCTGCTTTGCTTGTGACATTAAGCCAAGTTCAACAAGTGAATCCCCAGACAGCACACGACGTCCATTGGACGTCCATATTTTGTCCAAATAATGTCCTGGATGTCCATGAACTTTATATGGATGTCCATTGGACATCCATTTTCTGTTAACCAATGGATATACCCATTCAGACGTCCAATGGATGTTCAATAAATGTCCATGATGGACACTATAAAAATGACTAACTTATAATAAATTATTATAATTTTTCTTGTATAATTTAATTATTTACAACATTTTAATTAAAATAAATCAATTAATTTTCCTCTCCTAACGCTTCTGTTGACAAGATAAAAAAAGTAAAAGGCCATTCAGACCAGACTCGAAGAAAAGAGGAAAGAGGTTAAGAAGAAAACATCCCACATGTAGCCGATAGATAATGTTTATCTGGTAAGAAAATAAGTATAATTAACATTAAATTATTTAAAAATCCAAAAATTAAGAAGCAAATCGTTTGTTTTAAACTAATATAACCTATCAATTATGTTTTAAACTTTATATTTTCAAAGAATCCCTTTCTTTTAGACCTTTTGTCAAACGATTTACCAACCATTTAAGAAAATGGCTTTACTAAAAGCTAACTAATATTCTGCAAATTCGAGATGATGTCAACACAATTATTATTGTAACTAAGAGGTGAGAAAACTTTCAAAGGAGAAGAAAAAAATTCAAGTTTCTATTTGTATGGTATGAGACGTTAGCAGAAGAGGCTATTTAGAATATACAAATATTTTTAAAGAAGCTGTAAGTTTTACTTTTATTAAGTAAAATAGAATCGTTTTGTAAAGTTTAAGAAATAATGCATTGAAAGTGGTTTCATAAGTTATTTCTCTTTAATGTTCACAAATACATATTTTCATTGCAATTTTAGATTCAGCAGTTACCAAAACCAGGTCCAAGGACATGACGAACTTATGAAAAGATGTTTTGTTTCCATTTCTAATATCCTCTCAAAAGAATTCGCATAATATGATAGTATGAAAGTAAAATGGTAATTTAAAGAAATAATGAGCAGTTTTTTATTTATATGTAAGTATAGAGGTAAAGTACATTAGTCAATGCATATTTTCATATTAGTTAATAACATTTTATCTAAAAGTTTTACATTTTTAACTATCAGTTTTGCCTAATCAGGCGTGTATTAAACGATTGATTTAAGACTCAATATTCGTATAAAATGTAGTCTTTTTTTAGCTGCTGCTGAGAGTGACAATGGTGCTGCTTAAAAAGTAAGCGAAATAGCCTTAAGAAACTGGCTGAGAAGGTCAACAGAAAGGAGTGCGTATAAAACTAACACATGCTTGATATTATTTATGACAATAAAAATAAGTCCATAGTTGCAATTATTTTATTTCATATTAATATAGGTGGTGATGTTCGTCAGATGTCCATAAATTGTCCAAAAACAATACAAAAAGAGTCCATGTATGGACCTTCCATGGAGTCCAAATGGACGTCCAGGAGTGGGACATTTGTATAGTCCAGTGGATGGCCATTGGATGTCCTTTGGTAAAATTCTGGACGTCCTTTGGACAGCTGATATGTCCATGAATGGAATTCCGATAAACATCCAATGGATTGACTTGTACTGTCTGGGTCATGGTAACAGCGTTGTTTATTTCTGCGTTCTACGTCAAAAATAGCGTTCAATCATATTTTTGTAATCTAAACTACACATATTTTTTTTTACCTTAAAGTAGCTTAACCTGGTAAACAGGTATTATTATTATTATTATTAGTCTTGATTTTTACCCTTAAATGCATCTTGTTGTCATTAAGCAACATCAATTTTAAATACATAAAATTTCGAGGTGAAGAGAGTGAAGATGAAGGCGACTTCTGTGATGCGGACAGTTTGATGGACCCGGAGTATTTACCCGATCCTGAAGAGACTATGGAAAGCATGCACGATACAGAAGAAGATACAGAAGAGATAGAAGAAGAGTCCGTTGTTGAACCAAAACGTCAAAAACAATGAAACTAAAAAATAACATTTGGCGAAAGAAAAAGCTGCTTCTCAATGAGGATCAAGTTGTTTTTCACGAAAATTCTGAAGTGAATACGGATGTATCTCAGCTTGCAACCTCTTATCAATTCTTCAAATATTTTTTAAACGACAATATTGTACATTTATATGCAGTTCAGTCAAAACCTGACAGGCCGACAGTTTTTTCTGGACAAGAAATAAGTCAATTTATTGGAATGATACTGTATATGTCCTTGACTCGCTTGCCTTCTGTTCGGTCTTACTGCAGTCAAAATCTAGAGTGAAAAATGTAATGCTTGTAAACAAGTTCGAAAAAATTCGCAAGTTCCTTAATTTTAATGATAATACTAACTTTATTTCCCGTGATCAACCAGGACACAACAGGTTACATAAAAGTCCAATTATTGACTTCCTTATTCTTCTATTTCAATGGAACCCCAACTAAGCTTGGATGAGCAAATGTGCTCAACAAAAGTGCGCCATTACACATGAAGCAGTACCTGTCCATGAAGCCCCATAAGTGGAGATTCAAACTTTTTGTCTTGGCAGAAGCTTCTGGATGTGCATACAGGTTTGAAGTATATATCGGCCAAGAGAATGATGAAGATACCAATCAAGAATATTTAGGAGTTTCAGGCAATATTGTTCTCAGAGTATCGCAAGATATTCCTCGTAAACAAAATTACCGGCTCTACCATGATAATTATTACACCAGCATACCACTAATCATGCACCTTGCTAAAGAAGGTATTTATTCACTAGGAACCGTTCGAAGAAACCGTATTTCCAATTGAAAATGACCCACAGAACAAACACTCAAAGACGAACCTCGTGGTAACAGTAAGGAATATGTTGCATGTGTCGATGGAGTTGACATTTAATCTGTTATATGGAAAGATAACAAGGATGTTACTTTATTATCTTCATTTGTAGGGAAGCAACCAATATCAAAGTTCAAAAGATATGACAGAAAGAAGAAAGAGATTGTAGAAATAGATTGCCCAAGCATTATCAGAAAGTATAATAAACATATGAGTGGGGATATGAGACGTTACAAAATCAATTTAAAAAGCAAAAAATGGTACCTGAGAATATTCTACCACCTATTAGACCTCACAGTCGTAAATGCCTGGTCTTTATATAGGAGGGTTCATGAAGAAAAGGGAATAAAAGTAACTATGATACAAGCTGATTTCCGTTGTGAAATTGTAGAAGTTTTAACAAGAATTGGTACAACATCGTCTTCTAAACGAGGTAGACCAAGCAGTATAGAATCACAAATTTGTGAAAACCAAAAAAGGGAACCTACTCAGCATATACCTCCAATGGAAGTAAGATTAGATCAAATGGGACATTGGTCAGTAATCATAAAAATTTCTGTTACTAAATAAGACAAATAACTGTTCCAATATATTTTATAAAAAATATATTAATAAATACAATTGTTTATTATATCTCCTAAATATTTCACGTTATGCTATCGAAAAAAGATTCTATTTATGCATAATGTTAATATTTGGTAACATACAAAAAAATCAAGTTAAAAACAAAAACTATCAATTCAAGATTTTCTAAATATTTTTCTACTATTATAGAACATAAAAAGGTTTCGAAAATATTTTTTTTGGATCAAAATAAAAAATCATGAATTTAATGGTTAATTTTAAATACCTCTAGACAGTTTTTTAAAAGCACAAAAAAAATCATATACCAAATCACCATGAGGAAGAGATTTCACCATATTACGGTGTCGATAAATGTAAAATCTGTGATTAATTCATTTGGTTGGCATAAAAGGTACAATGTAACGGACAAATAATTCATTTACTGTTTAATGGAAGGCGTTAAATGGCTTTGTCTTACTGCAGATATACCATGTCCCACTATATACCACTTTCCCCTCTTAGTTAACAAAATTCAGTAGAAATCAAAATAGGCTCTAATCTGACAGTCTCTATTGATAACGTTTTGTGATGTATGCTATAATTTTTACAAATTTAAAAAACATGGATTTTTAAAAATATTACGAATTTGAATACAATAAAATATAAAATTATGTGGCCCCAAATATCTCTGGAGCCTCGGTGCTTTGCACCAAACTGCCCTGTGATAGATACGCCACTGGTTGTAGCTCTATTTCCTCTATTATCCGACCACTAAGCATATAAACCAGCTTCAAAGATCTAGAACCAACTTGTATGATTATTCCTTGTTACCAAAAGTGACTAGAATTGAACTCTTCTTTCTACTAGAATCCGATTACAATAAAAATAACTCCGCTACGTCATAACCATTTCTTCGAATTTAGTAAGTTATTAGATATAAATTACTTTACCAAATAATGACTTAGTTGTGTTCTTCTTAGTGTAATCGGACCCTACTAATACCGTTGCATTTAGGCTGGCTGTCAAATCTGTAAATCTGTACTCATTAGCTATTAATACATAGTAACCATTAAGTTTTTTGCCATAGCTGCAGGGTATTTCAAATTTTGATATACTTCATTTTCTTTGCCCCCACGAAGGTTTGATCTTGCAGCATTATATTGCATATATGTATTTACCTCTTTTGGTTCTTCACTGGAATTGTTATCCACTGGTTTTCCCGATGATGGTGTTACCAAACTAGTCGCTTGGCCAACTTGTGGAAACGAATTTACCGAGGATATAAATAAAAATATGCCCAGAAGGCAAATCCTATTTAAATCCATGGCGAAATCTGAAACGGAAAAAATAATTAGATTCTCTATTTTATCGTTAATTTGGCGACCTTAACGTTGTAAACAAAGTATTAAATCTCGCTGATAATTATTACTACAAATTTAAAATTAATTATTAATTGACATTAAGTATTTATTCTTAGATATCTGATTGTTTTTTTTTTTCTTCTTAGAATAGATTTGTTTATATTGTAAATATCTACGATAACAATGTTGTCTTTTCTGTATGGATATTTTTTTAATGCTATACAAGGAAATATAGTGATCAAGCTAGAGTAGTTTATTTGCGTCAATTATTATTACAATTCAACATAAACTTGACATTTTAATTAATTTCCAAATACAAAAATGGTGTTTACTATACCTCATTACCCCCCCTCCCTTATCTACGGTCTTGATTTCTATTGCATTAAATAGCATTTTTTATCTCCTTTTTAAAAATATATGACAACATGGTATTTTCTTTCATGATGTAACGTGAAAATTGACCATTTCCCAACATCGGGTACACCCCTGTATGAGTTTCGTTTCGAATGAACCGTCAGCGCCTCAAGGACAGCGTGGTGTTTTTTTTTTCTGGTAGATATTTTAATACATGACCCGACCCTACCTATAGGCAACCAGTTATACTTGTAAGTGTATTCGAAATAGTAGAGCGGTGGACGGGGGTTTTTCTATAAAATAACGACAAGATAGTCGAGAGGGTTTCTAAGGAACCCGAAGACTATCGGTTTTCTTTTCTTTTTTGAACTTTCGAGAAAGGAGGTTGACGTGGTTGCGTTGGCGAGTTCTTTTTCTTAAAAAAAAGGTGATAACAAAAATGGCTTCAGATATTACTCTGGATTTGGGAAAGCCAGCCTAAACATGGAGAGCTGGAGCAGCCATTAAGAGATTAAGGATGGCGGACATTTTTCCCAAGCCGGTCAATTTAAAAAATTATTAAATAAGATAACCTAGTTAGCACCTCCAACCACATGTTTCTTTCCTAATTTAAGGTTAGAAAAGATTTCTACCATCATAGGATAAGACAGGATCATTTGGATTCGTTGTTTTTTTTTACATACTGAAGTAACTTCAACCGACATTAGGCCTCAAGCAGTTTCCACCATTACTTGATGATAAAAGTCATCGCCCTGTTCCGTGGACATTTGTGGTAAGGTGTTGGGATACACGAGTCGGAGCGAGTACTCTTGGCAACTTGCTTCATGGCCACATAAAGGAACAACCCCTATTTCTGTTTCGACCGAGCTGCTGCCAAAAAGGAACAACATCTGCACATCAGGTCCTTTGTCTACCCCGGATCGAAAGAAGATAGCTGAGGCGGATACCTGGCGAGTGGTAAAGTCACCCATTTTTTAAGGTACTGATTAAGTATTCTTTTATATAAATATTAGTGGAGAACTGCTGAGGTTTGTGATATAGAACCTCATCTTATAACGCCTGTTAAAAATCATTTCAGTGTTTATTTTTCAACATTTCATATTTTTTTATTCGACTAAATGTTTCGGAATTATGTAATGGTCTAAACATTAATTTTACTTGGGGTTTTTTGAATTGTTTTCTATAGACTCGTTGAGAGCTTGAAACCAAATAAAATATCTACAGAAAGAACACCACACTGTCCTAAAAACTTTTGAAATTATAATTTTAAGTATAATGCTATTTTTGTTAATAAGTATATAAAGTTAGGGAAATGTGTCTGTATTCGAATAGCCTGATGGCTTATTATAAACCCCTTTAGGGTTGTAGAACATCTCTACCAGCTTACCTGCTGTATAGGTAATACATATATATTTAAAAGCTGATGTCTGATAATTTAAATGAAAACTTAAAATATTATTATTATAATTAACATCTCAACTAGCTTACCTGTTGTATAAGTAATTCATATTTGAAGGCTGATGTCTGACAATTTAAATGAAATCGTAAAATATAATTAACATCTCAATCAGCAAAGAAAATGAATAAAGATTGAATATGAACTGAAGGAATTTTATTTAATTATTTTGCAGGTTTCACTCCCATTCAATTTTTACAAATTTACAAGACATTATTCTTGCAATCATCTTTTCTAAATTTTTGCTTCTCAAATCTAGTGGCGCCTCCGGGTACCCTTTTGATTTAAATTTTAATATTAATTTAATCCTACCTACGACCCGTAGTGCTCACCGACGAAAGGCTAGCGGCATGTAGTTTGTAAGGAGGAAAACGTTTTTTTCTCTGGACAAGATCACCGAAAACAAAATCATACTTGTCAAATTACATTAACTTCGTACTTAAATAAAAAGATCGTTTTAAGGTTACAATGAATATTATTTTCTTTTAAAAGAATATTAAAATATTAACCATAGTAACTTCCAAAAAAAAAATATTACACACTGCGCTTTGGAATTTTTAAACTCCGTAATATTGGGTAATTTTAGCCATTTGGTAGGTAATATTTTTGTCTACTGTATCTTAATAAATATTTTTAAATACTATAATATAATATCTGTATAATTAATCTTTTTTTTAACAATGCAATACAATTTTCCCTCTATATAATATCTCAACCAAGGACAACAAATATCATGAATACCTTATAAACCGTCAGAGAGTGACTGATTTAGGTGCCCCATTTTCGCATACAAGCCTCGAAGAGGGTTAAAAGGTACATCGATGTTGAGTATAATAAAAAGAAATTTACGAGTGGCCCCTGGGGATGACATATTGAGAATTCGATTTTCCTTAACAGAAATAGAAGGTGTTTTTTTGCTCATATTTCCACGCAAGCCGTGTTCACTGAATGATTAATAATAGAACTTAGCTTCGAAAAACCAAAGGCTTGAATGTTGCAAGTGGCTAAAAGATTGAATTAAGGACGTAATATTGTAAAGAAAAATCTATATTTTAACCGATTTTTCTACACAAGCCCGTCAAAAGTATGAAAACATACATCGTTACTAGCCCGAAAAACATATTGGCTTGAATAGCGCATTTTGGAGTCGGAAAAATTACCGCAATTTTATTTCGATTTTTTAGTTATTATTTCATACAAGGCCTTTGTACCCATAGAATGTTATTAATGTGTTAGACGTGATAATAAAATTGGCATGAGTATCGGATGTGAACGGAACGAAGGCTTGTGTCGGAGAGTTGCAAGAAAATTGTATGGAAAATGCCACCATTTTCTCACGCTAGCTGCTTAAAAAAAGTAATTCTAAGACTATGTAACAAAAGGCTTGAGTGTCGGTCATGGTTATCATATTAATTATATACAGGGTGTTTCCGAACTTGGCGTCCAAATTTGTAGGGGTGGTAGTTCGCATAATTTGAGACCGATTCGCAGATTTTATTTTTGCAAAATATTTAAAATAAAAATAATTAAAAATTATAAACAGGTACTGTCCTGTACAGCCTCGCGCGCGCTACGCTTAGAATCGACAAAATTGCAATTCGCATCTGTTTTTGAGGACTATTGCGCTATGCGCTCAGGGTAGGACCTGCTCTTTGATTTTTTTTATAATGGCTCTATTTTGTTTATTATAATTTTTTTAGAAAAATGAAATCTGCCAATCGCTCTCAAATTATGCGAACTACTATTCCTACAAATTTGGACGCCAAGTTCGGAAACACCCTGTATACAATTTATTTAACAAAAAGCTGACAAAAATCTAGAAATATCCACCATTTTCCCACACAATCCGTTTGGCATAGTAATGAAAGGCATAAGTGTTGAAAATGGAACACATTATTTATTTAAAAAAGGTCTGTCAAAAAATGTAGAAATGTTTATGCAGGGTTATTATTTTAAATGAATAATTTAGCATACATTTTCTTCTCGTAAAGGTTATAATAACGTTTTATATTATGAAAATAATTCGCAAGATATGGGTCTTCATATTATGGTTTTCATATAAAAAATATAAAATTTATTTAAAAAATATTGGTAATGAATTTAATTAATTTTAATGACTAATTTTATACATTTTAAATGTTTATTAACTTAACGCACTTTCAAATAATTGTAAAAAATCAAATATTTCATTTGATTAACTAAATAAATGTATATCACATTACTTATTAATTATTTAATTTGAAGAAAAATAAGTAATGTAATGAACACAACAACCTGTGACTTCAATTTTGACCAAAAAAAGTTTAATTCTAAAAATAAGACTAATTAATAACACACAATAATTATTTAATCCGATAATTTGTATTCCTATCAACTCAACAAAAATCATAGGTATATCAATATTTTCTAATCGACTTTAAGAAAATCATTTTGATCTGTTATCCCATGACATTCTTGATTGCTTTAATATCTTATATTAAGGGCGGGCGTGGGCAATGTATTTAACATAGGCATACACAACGCTCTTTCAATGACTTTTTAGCTGAAACTACAACAAAGATAAAAGTGAAAAAATTCCTGCCGATAATAGATATATACTACTGTTCAATAAAGGTTTTTGGTGTCTCTAACTATAAGGGATCGTTTAAAAATAATTGCCAAAATATGGTAATTTTTACGATGAAATAAAGCTAAAAATATACCAGTAATAATAACCCGATGATGAAAATAATTCTTCTTTGAATAGGCTATATACTAAAGCAACAAATGTCACTTAAAATATCTAAATTAATTGCGTCAATTTTCTTAAAAGCTCATTGAAGTAAATTTTGGAATAAATTATAAATCGCCATTTATGTGTAATAATTGCCTAAAATATAAAAGAAAACTTCCTAAAATTGCATACAGTAGCCACAGGTTAATTCGGAGCTTCTCTAATAGATGGCGCTAAAGTCGTCTTGAATAAAAATAAAAATACATTCAAATATGCAGGTCCTTATTTAGGAGTTTACTAATATGTATATCATTTCAATTATTAAGTTGATTTGTATTCGATTTTTTTAATTTTGTAAGAATTAAACATATTCAATATTTGCGTAAGAGCATGAAGGATATGTAAGTAATGAGCTTAGATTAAAGAGACCGAAGATGTAACATTGCACA